TCGTCCAAGTTGAAGTTTATACCCTACCCGAGTCAATATTTAGTTTCAAGGGATGTGTGCTTGAAGGGCACACGTTCTAAAGCTTTTCTGATGGCTTTGAGTGCAATTCAGATATGTTTACTCATAGTTTAGTTCATAGATAACAATTTTAACGTATGTGACGATTTCATTGTATATGGAGGTATATTGTATAAGCTCGATTGGAAGAAACTGATATTGTACAGCGAACATGAGAAAGATTAGGGAAATTTTTAGCGACTCGACCAATGGTTGTAGTTTATAATATATTCTAAAGTTATTATAGTTGAATTTATTTGAATCTGCATCGAAAAGAAACTGGTTATTCTAAATGTCTATATTCAAACAGCATTGAGTGCTGTACGTTAAGCAAAATATTTCACACTATCTACATAATTCATCTTTGGAGATGAACTCGAGTCATGCAACGCTCGAAAAGTTAGATTCTCTTTCAGAAACTTGTGCCGCAATTTGCTGCTCAAATTATTTCTAATGAGGAAGTAAAGCGGCGCCATCGAATTTTTCAAATAAACTCTGCGGGAAGTTTACGAAACATTTGATCGGACCGCGCCGAAGTTTTGCATAGGTGCCTTCGTGTAATCTTGGCCGGCGTTTCATGAGATAATTTCTTCTGATAGTGGATGATGTATGTTTACCGTGCTAAGAACATGAGCGTTTCTATCTAATTATAATATTTTGTTCACTAATCCTGCGCTAAAAAATCACTTTTGACGAGATTTTGTGATGTCAATTAAGGCCTGTTAGTGACACGTTAAAAATTGAGTAGGTCCAAAATTAGTGAGTAGCTGGATATTAGACAAGGAATATATAAATTAATTTTTTAGATATTCCTAGAAATGACGAAAAATTAATTCAGTAAAATCCGTTAATAGGAAGCACTATATAGCTATTCGTAATAAAATCTGACGAGATAAATTTTCAGGTCATTTCTTATTCCGTTTTACCCTTAAAATCTGGTCATGTGTTGATATTCACCAAGATCCCTGTTATATTGCCTGCAATTAATTATTAGTCATGATGTTGATTACAACTGTAGTAATAATGGGAACTTCCTGGACTGAAGTTCGATGTCAATGTTGCAATCCCTATTTGAGAAATCATATTGAAATATTGATGTGTTGCCATACCAAGTATTTTTTTCTGATAATTCAAGGCTTCAAGGTAAAGGTATGGATTTATTATTGTATTTAAGAGTGTGTAAATAGTACAAAATGTTTTAGTTCAGTAGAAGGAGGTCCAGAAATAATACATATTTTTGCAAACAGCTATAACAACTAAATGAATTGTGAAAAGGAGTTTGTCGGGTGTTTTGCTTAGAATGGTCCTCAGCATAATACCTAAAATATCATTCAGTCTTTATGAATATCGTCATTGTTCTTTAATGATCTCTTCTTTTGCCACAAATTGCAGAAGAAAATGATTCAATATTCAATATCGAGATAATTCATCCACATTGTCTTTTTTTTCTTATTACTTAGTTATTAGTACAGCTATTGTGGGGATCTGACAACGTGTGTTAGGTAACTTCGCAGGCAATAAAAAGCAAAGGAAATTTGTTACTTTATTAGTACATAAAGCCGCAGAGCATTTCCGGCGCTTGTGAAGTTTATAGAGGAGGGCTGAGATGCCTGGAACGGCGCCAGAAGGCATTTTTTCCAGTATCAATCTGTTTTTGGCTCACCTATGCTAGTTTATCATTAGTTTATAATCAGTATGAGCTTGTGGCATTCAAATAGAACACCCACATTTAGGTTTGGGAAGTTAATCGCCACCTGCTATTTTTCAAGCCATATTCTATCAAAAAAATGTTTACGTTATTGATGTGGAGAGCTTGAAGTGAAGTTTCGGATGCTAAAAAGGAATTTACTCGAAATGAATAACATTAACAGCTATAATGAATAATAATGAATTCTTATTATAGGATGTGGATGTCAATAACGAAAAAAGTTCTGGAATGTTCTGGAAGGATAAGAATACGTCGGATCTATCATGACGGTCCTTCATGAAAGTCCTGAGAAGAACGATTGTAGATTCTGATATCGCTCTGGTTTGCCTATAAAACTGCACAGTAAATGTTAGTTGATTCCTTCTCTGTACTAGGACTAATTCTGCACATGAAGAATACTTTAAAAAATATTGCCTACGAGGGTGCACCGAAAAAACAGACTGTTTTTTTTTTTAATTTATTTATCTATCTAAAATCTTCTTTTAAAATTTGCTGGAGTAAACTCCAACGTCACTTGGGACAGTTCCGCGAATTCGTCAATACTTATGCGTCGATATTCAGAAATTTTGCCACTAATTTTCACAACATTTTCTTCAATGTCGTAAGTGGAAGGACGACCTGAGCGAGGTTGGGCATCAATTGACATTTCCGTATTTTTTATGCGGGAAAACTACGCAAAAACTAGCGTTCTCCTCCTAGCATATCCTTGTAGGCTGTCTGTAGCATTTCCATCCCAGTTTTTCACTGAAGAAAACAAAATTTGATGGTAGTAAATTGCTAACGATAATCAGGCATCGTTAAAAAAGGACGAGCGCGCAAAAGAAGTGTCACGAAAAATTCGTGATAATGGTATACGGCCTTTTATAGGCAGCAATGCCATACTAAGTGAGGAATGTCAGTAGCATATGTACGAGTACAATTGCACATACTTGGAGAATGAATACCGAAACTTCGCCCACCACACCGGCAGTCGGTTTTTTAGTTGCCACTCGTGCAATTGAAAGGTAATTTGCAAATATGGAGAAACTAGGATCGATACTAACTCATATACTGTACATTAGCTGCCACCCAGTCGGTTGTCTTGTTGGGAGCTCGTTGTTGTATATGAAAAACTTTCCAATGAGAAGATTTACAAATGCGAAATGTTTGATTTTCGTTCAATTAATAAACTTATGTTGTCCATGTGTGGTTGCCCCTGTTGGGCAACAATTCATATCCAGATTGAAATTTTGATTCCGAAGTACTATATAATTTCACGGCAGGCTCACTGATTGAAATTCAGAAGGTGAATCTATGCAAATATTCTAGTCAGCTGAGGATAGCTGATTGCTTCTCTTCTCGACTTCAGAATATTTTTGCTCCTGAATTGATCGTGACGGCGACATTTCCCTGATTTCCAGGCTATAGAAAATATCATGATCCAATTTGTCTTATTTGAATAGTGCTGATAAGCTCCCAGTGATTGAATTATTTTAGATGAGCCAAAGTCTTCTGTTACGCTCTTTGAAATTTATAGCATGTAATTTGGCATGTCTTTCAAAGTTCACTGCGAAAATTCTCCTATTAATATGAATGTGAATGGTTCATTAATTGAAGGAAAATATTCAGTAGCTTTGAACTGATGGAAATGGAAGTTTTTTGGAGAAACTCGACAAGCCGACCAGTAACTCAGTAAAGAATTTTATATTATATTGATAGCATTTGTAAACTAAATTATTGAACGAAGTCAATATGAGAAAATAATTTGAAAAGGGAACCTTAAACGGAAGTGCACAGAATTATTAGTTTATATTAGTTCTGTTTTAGGAAGTTCTCAATATAGTAGTTTATTTTATTTTCACAAGGCCTTCCTTCTACCTCGGACATTTATTACCTCGGACAGCAATTTGGCGTCGGCTTAGTTTCAAAAATTGAAGTTTTATCTGTAATTGATCGCGTTACTTTTCATCCACATGGAGACCAGCTATGCTCATGGATTTGTATATTGTTAACAATTGTTGCGGGTTTAGTGACGCTTTCGTTCTGGATTATATCAGGCCTGCAAAATATCTCAATTCAATATACTTCCTTCGCATTTTTGTAATTGCTAAACGACAGAACTGAGACCATATACATCCGAATAACATCACACTGCATTTTCTTTAGAAATAATACAACTCTTAATTAAAAACGGAGTGGCCTCAGAATATAATCTTAAATACATGCCTAAATTACAATGCATTAATCATAATGATATTATCATATTAAATATTATATTATTAAATTTTTTTATGAATTATATTTATACATAACTATAACTGTATATGTGTGGAAGTTATTTCGTTCATGTTTGAAGGTCTGTTCAAAGCCTGACACAGTAAATACATGATGGTTATAAACTCGAGTGTGTATCTACAAAATTTTTCGGGTCGGGACATTACCTGGACCGACATTGTAATTATAGTGGTTGGATAATGAGACATTGCAAATCTGGGAGAGGGAAGAGGGAATTACGAAATTGAAAAGCGACTTTTCAAATGTACTTATGAATTCTGATAAAAAATAAGTTTTTATTATTTTAACATGGATGTTAATTGGAATTTCTCCTCTGTTGGTGTTAAATGCTTGCTAGAACTGGACATTTTTCAAATAACGCACGTTTGTTTCGTAATCGTTTACTTGTATGGGATGGAGGGATTCAGAACGACGGGATTCAAAATGAAAGAATTTCAAATGATAGTAATCGGGATAACGGGATTTCTATATTGAATAGAACAATTATATAGCTCGGGCAACACCGAGTTACCATGCGAGTTCATTAAGGAAGCTCCTTATTGATAACTTGTAGAGCCTTCAAAGTTTGATTTTCACTTAATGCACAGATCGCAGGTACACATTCCTGCATAACATTCTTTAGAAATGAATCGCTAAATGACTATATCGAAATAATGACTCGTACAGTAATTATATTAAAACACAAAGATTTGCTAAAAAAAAACACGAACCTAGCAGTCTCGGATGCTAGACTAAAACGAACTTAACGCTTTATAATTAATAATTTAACCTAGCAGGACAGAAAACGATTTAGCATTGACTTGTGCAACAATGGTATCGAATTTGATGCTAAATTAATTTTTCTGATTTCTTCGTTAGTAAGAGCAACCATAGTGCCGAGAGAATAGATATGATAAGTTGTTGAATAAATAAAGAACTTAATTTGCCAACGGATAATTAATAAACAAAGTTTTGCCAGTTTACAATTAGTTTATTTTAGCCTCTATAGACATTATTATTTAATTCTAAAGAATCATTCTAACAAAAATTACCAAGCATAACAAATTGATTTTTTCACTCATGTTTAAATACAAAGCTGACCTTTAGGTCATTACACTAGTTAGAATGTAACTAATACGACAATATCGTAAATTTTCAACAAGATGTTGAAATTGACCGAAAAAATATTTTGGATATAGTAAATGTACATTTGAAATTTGCATTCGACTTAGCAGCGTCACAGAACTGAAAGTATTTTATACTTTAACACCGTCATCGGGGATCCGGGGTGACATGCATCAGTGCATCCTCAAATTATTCATCAGCAGCCATCATGTAGCTTGAGTCTTGTAAGTCGAAAACAGTAACAGTGGCTAATAGGTAATGGAAGAAAATATGATGATATGTTTGGCCTTATCTGCATCACATTTTCAATGGCGTTTAGATTGTGTCGTAAAAACCTATTTCTTAATTTTTTTTGTTATTAGTGATTATTGACATTAAAAATTACTGATCGTCAATATTATAGGGCTTGCTCTAACATTAAAGTATTTCAATTACTCAGCTTAAATGAGGTGTGTGAAACTATCGCTCGACATTTCCCTTTATACGTCCAATCTTTAAGCTAAGACAAATAACTTCTTCAAAGTTCGTCAATGTTTACTTGAAATTTACACATGAAATTTCTTCGTTTTCAATCACTTAGGTCAATGAAAAATTGGATATTACTTCAATCATTTGCAACCATCAACATTTCTCTTCAAATCCCAAATCATTCATGATGCATTCGCAGTTTTATTGCAGGAGTTCATTTAAGTCGAAACAATTATAGCAATAGATTTCTTATACAATAGACAGAAAAATGAATTCTAAAATTGATTGCAATGCATTGTTTGCCCAGTCAATCAACGATATTATCAAACACTATTAAGAAAAAATAAAATATTTTTAAATAGTTAAACTCTATCATTACTTGATATTACAGTACCTTCAATGCACGACCGAAGCAAAACTATACAGGGAGTATGCCTACGTCTTCCAATTTTGTCTTATTCTCCGTGGGTATTTGTTTAGCTACAACTTTATGACGAATAAGTGTTTGATTCTTCTCCATAATTATAGTACGAACTTTCCATATTGATTCTCGCTTTGATTTGAATTTTTTTGAATTTGAACACATCAGCTCACGTTTGACTTTCAGCCTTTCAGGAGTGGAAATATATACATGTTCTTGTTAACCTTTGTTTTGGAGTAGAAATTCAGTTGATTTATAGTAAATTTTACTTTCTGGAACGAAGGTCAAGTGCGGCGTAAAGACTTTATTGTTTGAGAATACCAAATTACTGAGATGGCAGGTGCGTATTTTCAGCACAATACATTTGTAATAGCTTGGAATGTTCCTTCAAATAAAACAGCCTCATTGGTCAACAGCATTCTCCGGCTCATCATAATTAATGTCGGTACTCATATCCCATTCAGAGAGATACGTCTCCAGAAACTCGAACGTGGGTCTGTCTTCGATGTTGGGATATTGCCAACATTTCGTGATGACGTCGAAAAGTCCCTCGGGGCAATTAATGGGGTACGTTGGTCGGGGCATTCGGTGGCCTTGGGGCACTACTTCCATCACATTGTTGTTGCTCATTCCTTCAGATAAAAATCCGGTAATTAAATTTAAAATGTTTTGGCACTGAAACATGTTCGCGAAAATGTAATAATATACGTTTAAAAGTTACTTTTTATAGACAACACTTCTAAGGAATCCAGTACCTCCAATGTTAAAGATGTACAATGAATTTCTCATTTTATTTTTCAATATTAAAAAAATTAAATTTTCAATTTTTTTAATATATAAATTTTCTTTTTTCAAAATTATTTATCCTGTCAATTGATTCATGCATTGCCTCCGACTTCACACAAGTGTGCAAAATTTCAAATCAATTGGACAGGTAAAAGTGTGCCAAATATCAGTTATAAGATTTGTTGCTGACAAAATTATTTTTTCAATTTTTTTTATTATTGAGTAAAAACATTTTTAATTTTTAAAATCATCTATTTTGTCATTTGATTCTTGCATTGTCTCCAACTTTACGCAAGTGTGCAAAATTTCAGATCGATAGGATAAGTAGAAGTGTGTTAAATTTCTATTATAAGATTTGTAGCAGACAGACAGACAAACAAGAAGTGAAGTTAAAGAGAAGTATTGTGAAAATAAACGGAAAATTTGTCACATATAATTGAAATCCTAAGCATTTATTTGCTATGACGTTTGTTTTTATACGTTCGACACACAATAAAGTTTTGACCACAAATAAGAATGTTTCTGGATCAAGAGCATTGATAGTGCGTATGATGTCGGATTTTTACAATTTGAGTTTTGACTTTTTTATTATCCTATTCAATAATGAAAATATATAGATAACTCGCATACCAGGATATGGGTTTGCCCCCAGCGTAAGAACTTCCATCATGACGATACCGAAGCTCCACACGTCACTCTTGATGGTGTACTGCCCGTAGAGGCTGGCTTCTGGCGCGGTCCACTTGACAGGAAAGTTGACATCTGCAGTCATACAAATATGCTTATGCTGAGAAATGAAACACTTCAATTGTATCAAGAATTAATATTAAAGTATGTAAAAATTCTGGCGGGTTCTATATTTTACTGCGCTTTCTCGGAAATATTAATGGATCATACTGTACGAGTAGCGACACTTTCTGTAAGTACCACTGATGTGCACTCTTTCCGGATCGAATTCAATCAGGATAACCCATAAAAAAGTTAAAAGTCACTAAAAACTTAATAGCAAAGAAAACTCCACAAAAATTCATAGTATCTTTAAAGAAAACGTTTCGGAGTCCAGCTCCATCGTCAGTTCGAAAATTCTAGTACACAGATAAATCAGTGATTAGTACAGTCGATCAAGAATACAACGAAAATCCTAAGCTGCAAAACATACCTATTTACAATTTCAAGCGGTAAGAGCTAAAAGCTAAATTCAAACTAGGCCTCTTTTTAAAAATATACAATGATTCTAAAATGCGCAAATCAGAAACACCGGAACTGGAAGCTAAAACTTTGAAGTCACTGTCAGAAACTGGAACATCGTACTGCTCGGCGTGAACCCACACAGCCGAATGAGGTGGGCGCGACAGTAAGTTACCAGTTCTACAACTCCTGCCCCTATGTTCTGCGACCCTAGAATATAGATTGCGAGACGTCATCCCGACGTACGCAGATGCACATCGTGCACAACTATATTTATAAACTAGGGACGCTCGCATATGCACAGGGAGAGTATCTTTGTACCTAAAAAAAGAACCGATTTTAAAACGGTTGACCAATATGACACGAAGATTAACATTTGCGAAATACTTAGAAAACTTTTGTTTTCTTAATGACATTTGCGAAATACTTAGAAAACTTTTGTTTTCTAAGAACTTTTGTTTTCTTCACGACATTTGCGAAATACTTAGAAAACTTTTGTTTTCTAAGTATTTCGCAAATGTTAATCTTCGTGTCATATTGGTCAACCATTTTAAAATCGGTTCTTTTTTTAGGTACAAAGATACTCTCCCTGTGCATATGCGAGCGTCCCTAGTTTATAAATATAGTTGTGCACTATGTGCATCTGCGTACGTCGGGATGACGTCTCGCGATCTTTATTCTAGGGTCGCAGAACATAGAGGCAGGAGTTGTAGAACTGGTAACTTACTGTCGCGCCCACCTCATTCGGCTGTGGGGGTTCACGCCGAGCAGTGCGATGTTCCAGTTTCTGACAGTGACTTCAAAGTTTTAGCTTCCAGTTCCGGTGTTTCTGATTGGCGCATTTTAGAATCATTGTATATTTTTAAACAGAGGCCTAGTTTGAATTTAGCTTTTAGCTCTTACCCGCTTGAAATTGTAAATAGGTAGGTTTTGCAGCTTAGGATTTTCGTTGTATTCTTGACTGTACTAATCACTGATTTATCTGTGTTCTAGAATTTTTGAACTGACGATGGAGCTGGACTCCGAAACGTTTTCTTTAAAGATACTATGAAAGTTAACAGTGTATCGATATTTGAACAAATTCTCAACCATTTCACTATGTGAAGCATTGAAGATGAAATGCATCCCTACAATTTTTATGAATGAATCCCTACAAGTCATCAACGACATTTTCATAACTCCGAACTCACTAGAGTTGGGACTGTACTCTCCGTGCTCAACAATTCTGGCGAGGCCGAAGTCAGCGACCTTGCAGTGCTTGTCCGAGTCCATGAGGACATTACGAGCCGCCAGATCGCGATGAATAAGTCCTTTGCTCTCCAGGTGCGCCATGGCGGACGCGACCTAGAGGCGATAAATTCATGGTTAATATTCGAAGTTTTTGTACAACATACACTCTCTCAACTACTGATGAGAGTTGAGTGCTTTACAGTCTCGTCGGCAACAGACCTATATTTGGACAATTTCAAGAAGGAAGGACCTAATCTGTCTGGCAAACACAATTTCATTAATTTTTGCAGAGATATTTTTGACTCGATAAAATTAATTTATTTTCGGAAATAAATTTATTTTCATGTGATGAGCGTGGTTTCGTTTTATTCATGCGTGAGTTTGCATATCGAGCAAAATGCCAGAAGTTTGCATGACTTAATTTATCCACTGTTGCATTGATATTTATGATATTATTTGATTAATAATAAGAAGTTTGCAAATATTACGCAATAAAGACAACGTAACGTAAATACCGTCAATGATGAACTCTTACCTGGGTACAAATGTCTACCAAATCTGGCAGCTCAAGACTCTTTCCATTTTTCCTGAGCACATCGAGCAGCGCTCCCCTGTTCATATACTCGGTGACAATAAGGATTGGTTCCTCCAAGGTGCACACGGCGTATAAGATGAGAATGTTACGGTGACGAAGCTTCTTCATGATGCTCGCCTCCTGCAGGAAGGCTTCGGGTGACATCATGCCTGGCTTTAAAGTTTTGATTGCAACTTCCCGAGTACCGTTCCAAACGCCTGCAAACAGGAAAAGGCACTGACAAATAATATTTGAACTGCTCGAATATTCGAAGATTAATGAAGTGTATTTCCTATAACTGAACTCGTAGCTTACACAATACTCAGTGTTGCCTTTCAAATAAGTAAATAGTGGATAAGCTCAACTAAAAATACAAAAAATTAAAGTCATTGTGGGCGACTGGAAGCTTTCATTAACCGATGACGCACACTATTTGAAACACGAAATTGAGAGTATCTTGAGGTCACATGTATCATTGCTAAAATGAATAATATTAATTAAAATTTGACAATTTATGCAATGGTAGGAAACAACAAGTGTAGATTATTGTCCATAATTTTTTTTTAGCGTCCATGTAGGTACGTCTTTAGAAAAGGTATGCTCTAAAAATTGCTATAAAAATATAGAAAAATTTTCTACTTATTTTTGAAAAACCAATGACTTAAAATTATCTTAAGTACTATACTCACCATGCCACACTTCCCCGAAATTCCCCGCGCCGAGTTTTTCATCGCAAACGAGGGTTCGTCTGTCAATCTCCCACTCGTCTCTCATCTCCGGAGACAGGTCCCACTGGGTGGGCTTAGGCTTGGGGCACGCTTGCTTGAGCTTCAATGGTGAGGAAGAGGCTGTAAATAAGAATATTTTAAAGATTAGGGTGGTCAAATGTTTGTAGTTTCGGAAAAATTAAGCTAATTGACAAGACAAAAGACATTTTCAATTAATGTAAAGAGGGTTTGGCTTGGGGCACGCTTGCTTGAGCTTCAATGGTGAGGAAAAGGCTGTAAAATAAAGGTTGAAAATATTTTTAAGATTAGGGTGGTCAAATGTTTGCCATTTCGGAAAAACTATGCTAATTGACATGACAAAATAAATTTTCAATTAATGTAAAGTGGTTTAGGCTTGGGACAGGCTTGTTTGAGCTTCATCGGTAATGAATAGGCTGCTGTAAAACAGAGGTTGAGAATATTTTTAAGATTAGGGTGGTTAAATGTATGCCGTTAGTATAGGGAAAATGCTGCCATTTAAACAATCAACATGTCAATCAATGCAAAGCGGGTTTGCTCTTGTATCTTTTATTATAGGAAGATTGAAAATTAAAAAATTAATTTTTCTTCCTCTAAGAATTTTTAATTACTACTTGCTGGCGCCCGGATTGCGAGATCACTCTGCAAAAATCTCTATTACTTATTACAACTGGTTGGCTGTAGTTGTTCTTACTCTGAATGAATATTTTTTCAAGGTGCTATGTATAGAATTGGTCATGAGTATATACTCTATATACTCACAAGTGTAGAAAGTGATCATGTCATTCAGAGTCCGGAACTTCCGATTATTTTGTATGTAGACTCCATCGTTCGAATAGATTCGATGATGTTTCACGGATGACTTGCCTTCAGCGGTCACCTGGAAGCCGTCATAAATTTTCTGTCATTGTTGATCCTGAGAGGCATGTTTTTAGAACTCTGGTCTCTTGTTTAAGAGCAAAATCCACAAAATATAATAATGGTTAACTTTATTACATTCAACTACAATTATTAATTGTTGAAAATAAGCAATCATCAACTTATTATTTCCTTCGTCGTGCGAGGTCTAGTGTTTTTGACGAGGTCTAGTATAAGTTGTTCAATGGTAGACGCTTAAATGCTCATCGAAATTTGTACGCTCATCATTAAAATGATGGTACAGAGGGCTTTAAAAAACTAAGAATTTACCTTCAATTGGTCTGATTTGTGAATGACCTAATACTTATAACATTTTATTAGCTACCTTGAAGCTGAGCGAGTACGAGTGTACGCTCGACGACTCGGACTTTCGCACCAAGAACGTCCCGTTGAGCAGAGTCGGGTCATTTAAGAGCAACTTTTCTGATTCCTTGCGCGATATGTCCCCGAAATACCATCTTTTTAGGGGAAAATTTTTGGAATGAATATGCGCAAGGAATGAAAATAAAGCTAAATGGTTTGAACTCTGAAACCATTTCAGAGTTCATTCATGGATGGAAATTCTAATTCATGGATTAGAATTTGCAGGACGAGGGAAAATATAACATTAGTTTTTTTTAAATTTCATCTCATCATACATTGATTTGCGAACTTGAGATTTCTAAAAAACTCAATGGTATTGCTCAAAATTACAGTATCGATTACGGACTTCTTTTGAATGCTATTTCAAATCATGTGTGAATGGAAAATGTTTACACTGGCAAACTAATTTTCTCCTCATAATTATTTGTTGTCTTTTATGTGCCGAATAGGATCGTTCGGCATAATTTATATATTCATAAGTATAAATACATATATTTATATATATATATTTATAATTCCACTTTACCGGACTTTAATTAATTTTTTTTCTAAATTGCAAAAAATATATGAAAAAAACTTGACCTGGCTGGACTTAACCTCAGTAAAACGGTCTCTAGCATCCTAAAGAAGGGTTTTAGACACTTCAAACTCTAACCCTAACCTAACGAGGTTGGCGTTTTTTTGGTGTCCGGTAATGTAGTTCATTTATTTTCGTGTCCGGTTTTTAAGTACAAACTAATTGCAGAGTTAATTACCGGACACGATTTTGTCCGGTTTAGTACTATGTACTATGTACTATGTATATACAACTATATATATTCTATATTATACTATATAGACAACTATACAACTATACAACTATATTATCACTATACATGATATATACATAAATATATAAACTATACTATACAACTATATATTTTAGATTATATATATATTTTCAACTATATATATTCTATATTATACTATATAGACAACTATACAACTATACAACTATATTATCACTATACATGATATATACATAAATATATAAACTATACTATACAACTATATATTTTAGATTATATATATATTTTCAACTATATATATTCTATATATTCAACTATATATCTAGTTTATACATAAGAATAGTTGAAAAAAGTGCAAATTCCTATCCTATTTTTAGCGCATTTTCTCATTTATGTTAAAATGCACTATTGTGCTCGCCATGTCCGTCTGTCTGTCTGTCCGTCCGTCCGTGACCTCAAGTTTTCGTCGACGAGAAAATGCGCTCTCTATCACTCACTGCCCTGAGTACTGAGTTATATTTTTTACTTACTCCTGAACTTCCAAGGATGTTGCCGGCACAACATAGCCGGAAAAGGCGAAACCTTCAGCATTCGTTTTCAGGTTCCTCATCCACCACCAGTCCTCGTTGCTGTGAAAAATGGATTAGTGAATAAGTTACGTAAAATGGATTAGTGAATAAGTTACGTAGAATGGATTAGTGAATACGTTACGTAAAAATGGATTAGTGAATACGTTACGTAAAATGGATTAGTGAATAAGTTACGTAAAATGGATTAGTAAATAAGTTACGTAAAATGGATTAGTGAATACGTTACGTAAAAATGGATTTGTGAATACGTTACGTAAAAATTGATTAGTGAATAAGTTACGTAAATGGATTAGTGAATAAGTTACGTAAAATGGATTAGTGAATACGTTACGTAAAAATGGATTAGTGAATACGTTACGTAAAATGGATTCGTGAATACGTTACGTAAAATGGATTAGTGAATACGTTACGTAAAAATTGATTAATAAATAAGTTACGTAAACATGGATTAGTGAATATGTTACGTAAAAAAATGGATTAGTGAATAAGTTACATAAAAAATGGATTAGAGAATAAGTTAGGTATATTCCAAACTAAAAGAAAGATGGAGTGCCAGTTAATGTTATATTGATGCAAATTGTTAAAATAAATTCAACCGGAATAAAATTTTTTATGTATATTCGAATCAAGACAAAATGTGAAGCTCAAATTATTTTTACAGTGATGCAAATATTGACCAAACGTACTTCTCGTTTCCAAAACATCGCTCAATTAAGCCTTCTTAAAAAGTTTTGATGAGAAGCTTTATCCGGGATGGTAACGTTTTGTTTAAAAATATTTAGGATCGCGCTATATTTGATGTAAATTTTGTTCTCTCATTTGCATTCTATATACGTAATCTTCATCTATTGTTAGCATCACCAGAGAAGCTTCTAAACCAAGTTGATTCTGGTTGCGCGCCATTACTTACTATGTAAGTAATATGCTATTACTTACTATGTACGCCATTACTTACTATGTAAGTAATGCCATTACGCGCCCCATTTTTACTATGTCATAAGTTATGCATTGAAAACAGAGAGAATTTATTTCATGTAAAAATCAAAACAACAATCCGGTACTCACGGTTTGTCAAGGACTTCGAACCTCTCGCCCTTGTCGAAAGTCAACTCGGTATTGACACGTCCAATGTAAGAGTAAATGGTCACGACAAATCCCAAGCTCTCTGTACAATAATAATATTATTAATTACATGCAATAGAATATATGCGTGCGCATTAATTATAGAACAATATAATCAGCATACTTTATACCAAATAAGATACGGAATAACGTGCCGGTACTTCGAATTCGTCCATTGGCAGGAGGCTCATCGTCTAGCTTCGTGTCAGCACATCCCTGCGGGTCATCGGGAGCCGCCTCGTCTGTAGGATAAATATTTACGAAATATTTTCAATTCTGGGCCTATACTTTCAAAAAAGTTAGGAGATTGTAAGTTCATCAGCCAATCATTGACAGCCTTTCAAGCAAAATCCACCAATCATAGACAAGAAAATAGAGCGTAAGTACTTGCGTTCACTTAGCAAATTTCGAATGTATGGCAATGGCTAACTCTTCTGCAAGAGTTAGCTCATTGAGATATCGAATCAAAATAACTTGCCTTAATAAATGTGAAACAGTGTAAAAGGTATGCCGGTTTACGGCTTGAAAGTGCGTTAGGGATTAAGCTGTCTGTTTAAGTTAGGCTGTCATCCAAAATGAATGGTAGATTAATGAGTGGAGAGTGTTCTCGATATTTTCATTGAGTTTCCTGGAATTTTCATTACCATTTTCAAATTCATGGAAAATGAGCCAGAAGTCATGAAAACGGATTTTGTTTGACTAAACCAGTTCATTGTTATTTCCGGTGCATTTCATTAAGTTATCAGCATTGTTAGTGAGTTCAAGCTGATGATCTTAAATGGGAGCGTTCGCCCTAAAATTGAAAGTTTTCACTTTTTCGGTTTTTATACTCATCTTCTGAGCTATCCAACGGTACCAAAACCATCTCTGTACGTTGATTTATGCATTCACTACAGATCCCAAAAGGGGGGCGGGTGTCCGGCCCCCTTCAGTAAAGTCAAGGGAGTAATTGCACGGCCGTTCACTATAAATTATGGCCAATTATGACATTCTCCAGTTACTATACTCATCTTAAAGCTGCTTTTCTGACGCATTCAACGGTACCAAAACCATCTCTGTACGTTGATTTATACGTTCACTACAGATCCCAAAAGAGGGGTAGGGTGGGAGGTTCTTTAACTATTCCCTATGGAAGTAATTAGCTACCAAACACTTGAAATAGAGCGTGTACACGAACACGAAGTGCACCTCAGTTACCCAGCAGACAGCATACGGGGAGGTGTGCATGCAGTCGCTCCCACCACCCTTGAGTGGAATCGAGCTCCAGTAAAGTTTAGTTTCGGATCCTTGCTACATTTAGTGCCTGTTCGCATGCTCCCGCGACTTAGTCGTGTCCTAGTGAACACTCACACTTATTGTCACTGCAAACCTATCTCCTCCTACAGTTTTGAAGCTATATCAATGAGACATATACCGTTCGATTTGCAAAGAAAAGATCTACAAACTGGGCGTAGGCATTTTTCCAAGTTCGTTATAGTTCGGATTTTATTTTGCAAAAAGGGGGGAAAGTGGAGGTAAAATCTAGAATTTCGAAAAATTTCGGACAAAATGCTCCCACACACACACACAAAAATGAGAAATTAAAAAAAAACACAACCAGTTTGTAGATATGGTCTTTACGCATCGAATGATATGTGTTTTGATGTTGTAGCTTGAAAATCCTAGGAGGAGATAGGTTTTCTAAAGTACCCTTTTTTGGCCGTTTTCTAAGAATTTCACGTTTTTTTCAATTTTTTTCGAAAGATTGACATTAATAAAACCTGAGTTTTTTTTAGGGTTTACACATATGTACCAAATTTCAAACTGATCACTCTGTAAATTACCGAGATATAATTTAGGGTGAACGCTCCCGTTAATAACCATAATATCCTATTGAACTGTTCTAACACAAAGGATATATATCCTAATATCCTATTTAAACTGTTCTTTCACAAAGTATACTCATTTAATCGCATGAAATAAATTGCTCATTAGTGACAACTTTAATTTGAAACTCGGTTATTTTACTGCCTTTCTTGGTCGACTTTTTCTGTTACATGAGGGACTTAATATTATTAACATTATTTAACATTATTCTTTCTAAAGTTCAAACCTCAAACCTGAACAGCAGGTGATTCTTGTGCCTGTTGATATATAAAAAGAGTATTTCTTCCACAATTTACGAGCCGCTATATTTCATCACAGATTAGTATGTAAAGAACCATTAATTATATTCACACCGCGCACCACAAAAATTGCATATCGTGAAGTTTGGTCACTCACCGTAGGTTTGGGTCTCTTCTTTACGAAGCGTCTGTTCTCTTATAGCCGTGTTTTCTTCTGAAATTAAAATCCTATATAAGCTCGAATAGAAACATATATTAAGCAAAATTATTCATCTATAGTGTTTTCGTATATACGGTTATATCACTGTATGAGCTGCCAAACTATGAAAGTTCTTAATGAGAATTTTCATAAAATTTAAATGTAGTACAAACATGTATGGTAGTTTAAAATTAAATTATGCTTCGGAGGAATATGCTAGGATGACTCACCTTTACGTTTTTCTTTTTTCTTCAGTTTAGAAAGTGGTGGACCCATATTTGAGTTAATTTAGAATGATAACTGAAATCATACAATTAAGAACGCTTGTAAAGAAGAGGACATTATTTGATAACACATTCATGACTTCAAAAGTTCAGTTTGGCCAGGTGATCATTATTGTGATAAAGGTGGATGCTCTCGACATCATGAAACCTAAATCTCGACATCATGAAACCCAAATCTCGACATCATGAAACCCAAATCTCGACATCATTAAAACAAAATCTCAACATCATGAAACCCAAATCTCGACATCATGAAACCGAAATCTCGACATCATTAAAACAAAATCTCGACATCATGAAACCCAAATCTCGACATCATGAAACCGAAATCTCGACATCATGAAAACAAAATCTCGACATCATGAAATGTACAATATGTTTACAGATCGAATGACACGTGCTTTACATAGACGGTGTAAAGTAACACGTGTAATATAGGACGAACACTAGTAATAAATGCAATATTTGGACGAGCTCGATTAACACGAGCCCATAAATGAAAAATGATGAATGCGTGCCAGACATTGCCTGAGAAAAGTAAAATGAAATGGACAAAGATAAAGAACAAGGGTAACAAATCTACGAAGTAAAGTACTATTTAAATACACAGACAGGGGTACGCAACACGTGTGTGCAGGAATTGTGCCAATAAACTCAAGCAGTATGCATTGACAGTCCTTTTAATGCCTAGGGTAAATGCGTATGGTCTAATAACACATGATATATACGGACAAAGTCAAGTAACATTTTCATTACATACGCGACCTCGGGTAACAGGGGCCTTCCATGGGGGTTAATTAAAGTGAGAAATGCATGGACAGGGGCAAGTAATACATGCAATGCTCGAAGATAGCCAATTAGCACATGCAATACTAAGGTAAAGTCAATTAATACATTCAGTAGTCGAATATAGTCAATTAATACATTCAATACTCGACTATAGTCAACTAACACATGCAATACTCCAGTATATTCAAGCAACACGTGCAGCATATAGTGTAAAAACGCAGTATATAGTGTATATATATATTAGGAGCGTTCGAAGATCACGTACGCGGTCATGTAACATGAGCAATACATGGGCGGGGTTCAGTATCGGGTGGAAGACATATATATAGATATATATATATATGGTGGGGTTAAGTAAAATGAGCATTACACAAGAGGAGTCAAGTGACACGGGCAATATAAGATCGGGTTCAAGTATTACGTTCAATATATCAGCTGGGCTTAGTATGAGGTAGCATTTATTATAGGAAGAGTCGTTTAAAGTTGGTAATACACGAGCGTTGACCAGTAGCTGAGTTACTTGCTTGTATGCACTGGACGTGGAATAAATAGGCGGAGTTAAGTGAAGTAAGCGATAAATTAATGAAATCAAGTAACATGTGCCATGAAAAAGAGAAATAACATGCGAAATGATTAAATTTTTATACATCGAAGTCCTATCTCCCAGAAAATATACAGTTTTAATATAGTCAAGTTGAATTAAAAGTGTTTCTTGGGCTTGAACATTTTCACGAATGAGTATGATTATGACGATGCAGTTAAGCAATTTATTGACATTTTTCTAAAATCAACTCGAAATTTTCCCTTCTTTACAATAATATTTTAAAATTCGACATCGCACCAAAACACCCATCATTAGTAAGAAAGTAAAAAAGTTTTCAAAAGAGATATGCTAAATTTTTGTGGTGTTTTCTTCGCTTTTAAATTTCTACTAAACATCATTAGTAATTATACGTTTGGCAAAATATTCGATGACGGATAAATCCTCCAGTTTCACCGTTTGAAAGATAAAATATAGACCGACCGTCCGACCGACCGACTTCTCATCCTCTTGTCTCAAGAATAACTGACAAGTGTACTACTTAAAGGAAACGTACTGAAGGAAACGTGCATATCTCGAGTCTCGTATCGCACTTATTCTAGGAGCGGAGCTAAACCTATCGCCAAGCAACATCCGCTCGCTGCTGCTTCTCACTGTACATGTGCTGAATCATCGCTCCTGTAGTCTGATTGCCAGTAAAATGTATTCATGTGCTAAAAAATTGGGAACCATTTTTTTTTGTAAATGTCGAAGCTAAGATACAAATTTACAAATATTTCTAAATGCAATTTACAAATGTCAAACATACGAGACAACGTATGGTTTCGCTGGCTATGCAATTCTATTTTGAATAAAACACTTTTTTGCTAATTAACAAAATAATAAATGTAGGAATTAACTTAGTTATAAATGTTAGGAATTAACTGTAGCATGCATTATGTAATGTATTTCGTGCGAAATTCAATTTTTTATCTTCTAAAGGAATCGCCCATTACACCAAAGAAATTAATATACCGTTTTATTGACATTTTTAAGCTCCATAAAATCATAGAGCAAACTAATGAGTGTATAAATGTATTTTTGTTTAATATCAAGCTACAACAAAATATAAAACTAAATTTCCCAACAGCCAAAAAGTTTTATATTATGAAAAAATGGATGGATTCTATTTATAGGTAAATATTCAATATAAATTCTTGCGACGTGAGTGAACCAAGTTCTCAGGTGAACGCGAGGAACTTCGGTTCACCTGGTAACATTGTTTTCATGTGAACCTAGTTATCAGGTGAACCTTGTTATCAGGTGAACCTTGTTATCAGGTGAACCTTGTTAACAGGTGAACCGTGTTATCAGGTGAACCTTGTTTTCAGGTGAAACTTGTTATCAGGTGAACCTTGTTATCAGGTGAACCTTGTTATCAGGTGAACCTTGTTATCAGGTGAACCTTGTTATCAGGTGAACCTAGTTATCAGGTGAACCTAGTTATCAGGTGAACCTAGTTATCAGGTGAACCTAGTTATCATGAGAACCCAGTTATCAGGTGAACCTAGTTATCATGAGAACCTAGTTATCAGGTGAACCTAGTTATCAGGTGAACCTAGTTATCAGGTGAACCTAGTTATCATGAGAACCCAGTTATCAGGTGAACCTAGTTATCATGAGAACCTAGTTATCAGGTGAACCTAGTTATCAGATGAATCTAGTTATCAGGTGAACCTAGTTATCATGAGAATCCAGTTATCAGATGAACCTAGTGCGTACGGGTCGCCAGTTTTGGGGCATCTCGTCATCATTCTTTTGTATGCTTGGCAGCAGAGATTATATGTACACAGGACGAAAAAAATATAAATGCTAATTGCCTTGAAGACATCATGTCCCTTTAAAGTCTACGGAGTTTACTACATACATTTGATTATGTAAAATTCCCTCACATTTATTCGATTCATCTTGTAGTAAAATTTTAGTTTATTAAACTTTTGAAGAAATGTCTGAAAAATAAATGTGAGAAACGTTGCAAAAAACATGAAATAGGCAGTTGAGAACACGCAATCAGCCAACATAATATGTTCACCATAATAATAATAATGTCAGAATATAGGAAATATCAACGGAACAATTAGTTCACAATTTATCAATTTATTTCGCCTGACATATTATCTATAATGATTAAAATTTAACTCTTACGTTTTCTTAATTTTCATAAATAATTAAAAATTGCATAAAAAATATTCGTGATAACCCTTCAGTTCGAAATGGGTAATTAATTTATTTAGAATTAATTTTTTCTTCAATATGTAGTCAGACTGCAAATTTTAGGTCCTTTGAGAACAAGAAGAGCTTGGGACAAAACCACCTTAGTGCCGGCACAGGCTGGAGACGAGACTAGAACCTCATGAAAGAGCAATCAGCTGAGAAAGTCTTAACAATAAAGTAATTGAATTCGTTCCATACTACGGGACACATGGCAGGAGGATTTGGCACTAAACTGCTTTATGCGAAACTTTTTTCTCAAATAAATTTCTTGAAAGAATTCTTTAAGGAGTACCTATCATGTAGCATTTTTATAAACATTTGACTTTCCAGTAGTTATAGATTTTTTCTGGAATTAGGGAAAGCTGATGTGGGGTTTTGATGATTTATGTTGGACAATTGTACAAATGGTTGGTGAAAATTACGAAATCGAAAAAAGTATTCGGAAATTTTGTAGGGAACTTTTCAAACTTATCAGGTTTGACTGTTATAACTTATCAAAACTGTAAAAATCTAAGTATTTTAACAATTTTGTTTGAATGAATTTCTATGTATAAAAATAGGCGCGCAACGATCCATCAATAATTTGAACTGAAACATTGTACAGCGCGGGAAAATCAGAACAATAAATAATTATAGCACCCATTTTCTGGCTTAAATTTACCGTATATTTTTAAATCTTCCATTTTTTTGTTACTAAAATATGTATATATTTCTTTAACAAAAAGCACCATATCTTATTATTTCTCTTTATACAGGTTCGGGCTCGTGTTTGTAGCCATGGCATCGCAAAAATATATATATATGGGGGTTCTGGCACGTATCCAGGATACGGCTCGTGTCGAGGTAATACATGTGAATGAAATTATATTTTTTTATGTTGCGATAATTAGGTATTCAAAAAAACTGTTAAGAGATAATTCAATGAATTAATGAATGAAAGTTTCCATTAACCTTGCGTTGGTTGGGAGTACCATTCTAAATGTGGTTTCGAACGGGACACAAGCGTAAGTTAGATTAAGAAAATAAATGAAGCAGTAAAGAGGTGAACAAATAAATGAGATCGAACGTGATATAATTTTGGAAATTTTGTACATCTATACATTGTTTCCGAAACATCAAGGAAAAACAAAAAGAAGCTAGGTTGGTAGGAACTATACAAATACATATAACATGCATGTACACTGACTTACACATTATATTTTCAACAAACACATCTACTCTATCTTCATAAATCAACAAATTGTCTAAGAAATCAGTCAATAGCGCTTCTTCACAGGACCCCAGCAATGAGACTTTCTTCCTAACGTCTTGAAATCGGGCCGGTCCTTGTGTGAGAGAGCCTCCAGGACCCACAAGTCGGGCCAGTCACCCCTGTTGTGACTCGGTCAGCATAGCGACTAATCGGTCCAGCCACCCCTGTTGGGATTCGGTCAGCATAGCGACTAATCGGTCCAGCCA